GTTTATTTGATCGAGGCTCCTGCATGTAACCAATCTCCCATCTTCCCCCACCTCCTCCAACTAGAGCTCTGACACCCCTTACTGGCAGCCCCCTGCCCACATGGACGCCCTCCCTGCCCTGTCGGGGCTTCCACTGGCCCTTGTGAGGACACACCCTCATGCCCGGTGCAGACATTCCTCACCCCTCAGCCCTCTGCACCTCGTCACCTGCTCTGGGCTCCCACACATGCTCTGAGCCACCAAGCCCATCCCCACCTCTGACACCCACCTTGCTCTGATCCACCCAACGGCTTTAGGACTGAATTGTTCAGGAAGACAAGAGAGGGGAGGAGATTGTCGCCGTAGCAGACATAGAAAAAGGGGAGGAAAAGGGGACATCAAGAGCAAAACCACAAGCAGGGAAAGACCGCAACTCGGACAGCCCAGCGACTTCCAAGTCCTCTCACAGAAGAACCACATGACTGGGTATCACTCACAGTTTGCCTTTTTTTCTGGGTAATGTCTTTTGGATTTTAGCCAAAATTCTTTGCTTGTATAACACTCTGCTGTGTGGCACGGCAGGAGCAGGCCAGCACGCAGCCCCTCCTGCTCCATGTGGAAAGAGAAGGATCCCAGCACATCTGTGGTAACTATGGACGTCATCCTCGTGGTCACATCCACACCCAGCTTGGGTGTGGATGGAGGGCAGCCCCCCGAGCAGCTGGCTCCCGTCGATGAGTGTGTGGATTCGCTGCTTCCTCTATCTAGAACAGATGGGTGACAAGTACGGGTGGGAGGTGTGGGGCAGGGTGGCCCACCGCTGTGGGCAGTAGCCTGGCCTTTCTCTGATCTGTGCTGCACCACGAGGGGGCGGAGGGACCGGCTGCCTCCTCCCTGAGACACGGATGCAGGCCCTTCCCTCTTCTCGGCACTGACCCCGGCCTTCCATGAGAAGCCGACTCCCCACACCGAGTTTTAAAGCAAAGCCCTTTTCTTCTGCTGCCCATTCGCTGTGGGCCCCATTCGGCCATTCCCCCACCAGACCCCAGGGAAGCCAGGCCCACTGCAATACCGGAAGCCAAGGGGCTGTGCCCTGGAGTCGGCCTCATGCCAGGGCTCTGGCTGTGTGCACTTGGCGTGCAGGGTGGACGCATGGGCTTCCGTGTCCCCAGCAGTGAGGGCCCTCCAGGACGCCTTCTCCCTCGGTTACTGACCTCCACGGGTTTTCACATCTTTGTACTGTGCCTGCCTCAACTTCCCCAACAGATATGCATATTCCTTCCAGATGCCTCAGTGCTACACCAGAGCGGGCCTGGTCCCAGGACAGGAATGTGGTTCCACCCAGTGGCTTGAGACTTCCTGAGAAACTGTAGCATATCCAACACCTCCCCAAAAATGTACAATATAACTTGTTTCGGTCCAAAGCAGGTTCCTTATGTTTCTGCCTTCCCCGCCAGGGTCACTCCATCACCCACACAAAGGAACAAGGTTTGCCAGGATGTCCGAGTGCCCCATGGCCTTGGCGCTCATGTGCATGGATGTGCCTGAGGGGTCCGGGCACGGCCACACATGGGGCCCTATGCCTGGGGAGGCGCTGCAGGGGCACCCCGTCCGGCCGTCTTGGGGCCACAGCCCGCCTTCTGGACTCTGCCTTGCTTTGCTTCTGTTGAGTTGTTTCTCTGCCGCCTTTCGAGCAGACCTCTTTACTACACTGCACTGGATTGCTATATTTTTAACCAGAAATAAACTAAAGATGAGAGCATGAAAAAAAAAAAAAGAGCGAGGAAACATGTACACTTTTAATGACGTGGAAAATACACTCCTGAGTAATGCTAAGCAAAAAAGAAGGCGAGATATATAAAATTGCATGGAGAGTATAATATGAATGATGTAGAAAGCTTAGAAAAAAACCCCGGCACTCTCTAGGCTGCAGAGCCAAGCAGAAACTGGACAAGTTTTGTCCACTGATCGCCCAGCGCAGCGCCCTTAGATCTCACACCCTTTGAGATTAGCGTTGTGCCTTATTTCCTTCACCCATGAAAAGGAATGGTAATAGCACTTACTCAGGGTTGTCCTGAGGGTGAAGTGAAAAGCACATGAAAAGCACGTAGGATAGCACCGCGCACTCAAAGGGCATGCTCCATAAATGTTAGCTGTTACTACCCGGGTAAAGTTCAGTGTAGTCCTCTATGTTACCCTCCTGAGGTCACCTATCATAGCCACAGTCTGGGCACAGTTGTGCCCAACTCCAAAGTTCATGTAAGCCTTTTTTCATTGCACTGATCAAAGAATTCGAAGCAGTGGGAGTTGGGGCAATACACCCGTGATCAGGACAAGACTGCCTGAGACATGTTCTACAAGCGCCTTGCAGACCAGAGGAGGAGCAGTTATGGCCGCTTGGTAATTCACTTGGGGAGCTCCCTCACATAGGTCGGATTCAGGACAGACCTTGAACACCGGGAAAGATTTGAATAAGCTGACCGGGGGTGGTGGCTCATGCCTGTAATCCCAGCACTTTGGGAGGCCAAGGTGGGTGGATCACAAGGTGGAGACCATCCTGGCCAACATGGTGAAACTTTCTCTACTAAAATGCAAACAATTAGCCGGGTGTGGTGGCAGGCGCCTATAGTCCCAACTGCTGTTGCGGAGGAAGCTGAGGCAGGGGAATTACTTGAACCCGGGAGCCAGAGGTTGCAGTGAACCAAGATCGAGCCACTGCACTCCAGCCTGGTGACAGAGCAAGACTCCGTCTCAAAAAAAAAAAAAAAAAATACGATTTGAATAAATTATGATGGTAGAGGGAAGGACGGGGGAACAGACTGAACGATGGCAGGGGACTGGGAGCCCCACATCGTCACCTGAGAGGGTGTTCCTCAGCCTCAGTGCTGCGGGTGTTCTGGGCCAGGCAGCTCTGTTCTGTGGGGGGCTTTCCAGTGCACTGTCGGAGGCAGCAGCACCCCTGGCTTATCCTCACTAATGCCAGTTAGCAACCCACCCCCTGCCCCAGAATGACAACCAAAAACTGCTACAGACATTGCCCGCTGTCCCCTGAATGGGGGTCCAAAATCACCTCCAGCTGAGTGCCACTGTCCTAGGTAAATGGAATGTTCAGGAAGCCCTGGAGCCACTCATTTATCAACAAGAGCCTGGCTTCTCGTCCTTTCTCTTATTGTTGGATGACCTCGTGCAGAGAAGACAACCCCACTTGAGATTGCCACAGGAAGGAAGAAGGGAAGCGAAGTCCTCCATAATCCACAGTGCCTGTGGATTCTTACCAAGGGCTCCTTGATAAGAATTTCTCAAGGTAGAAATGTGCAGCTCAACAGCTGGCCAGACTTCCTAGTTCAGAAGTGCAATCTCAGGTGGGGAAGTTTATTATTACAGCCAGCAAGAATGAGGACATTTCACAGGGCTGGGCTGCAGAGGAGAGATGAGAGACTAAGATGATGACAATCACCAACCAGTTTGATGACTCTGCAAACAGTCACTTCCTCTCTCTGGGCTACGGTCTTCCCATTGGTAACTGAAGGGCCTGCAATACCTTCAGCATTCCTTCAGGTGAGGACTCCTCTTCGATCCCTGCTATGGTTTCAATGTGTCTTCCAAAGTTCATGTGTTGGAAACTTAAAACCAGTGCAAAAGCGTTGGGAAGGGATTCCTAATGAGAAGGGATTAGGCCATGAGTATTCTGACCTCATGGTCAGATTGATGTCATTATCATGGGAGTGGTTTGTCAAAATGAGTTCAGCCCCTTCTTTCTCTTTTTTCTGCCCTGGACTATGGGATGCACAGTCCAGGTCTCACCAGATGCTGGCACCACGCTTTTGGACTTCCCAGACTCCAGAACCATAAGTCAAATAAATTTCTGTTTATTATAAATTACCCAGTCTGTGGCATCCTGTTAGAGCAGCATAAAATGGACTAAGATAATCCCTATAAAGAGTGGGCACGGTGGCTCACTCCTGTAATCCCAGCACTTTGGGAGGCTGAGGTGGGTGGATCACAAGGTCCAGAGTTTGAGACCAGCCTGGCCAATATGGTGAAACTCCGTCTCTACAGAAAAAAAAAAAAAAAAAAATAGCCAGGAGTGGTGGCACGTGCCTGTAGTCCCAGCTACTCAGGAGGCTGAGGCAGGAGAATCGCTTGAACCCGGGAGGCAGAGGTTGCAGTGAGCCGAGATTGCGCCACTACACTCCAGCCTGGGTGAAAAAGCAAAACTCCATCTAAAAAAAAAAAGGGTGGCAAAAGAATAGTTGCCAGCTCACTGGCAGAATCCTATGATAAACTAGTAATGTCTGCCAGAGATGGAGGATGAGTGGCACCAATATGTATGGTGTGTTTGCTGACTGTCTACAGGAGTCAACCAGAATCTCCGGATCTGTGTAAGGACCAAGAGCTGGGGACAGAAGCAGCACTCTAGAGGGGAAAGCTCCATTCAGATTCCTTGTTTTGTTTTGTTTTAAAGAGTGGCTCTGTGAGAGGACAGGGAGAAAATGGACCCTACAGGTCAGGGATACTCAGCTCACCTCAGTCTCAGAGAGGCACTCCAGCATTTATTCATCCAAAAAAGAGAATTACATCCAGGTGAAAGGAGAACCCCAGAATATCTGCCTACTTTTAAAATTCTCCCCTATGCATATTCGGCAACCAATAAGAGGACTTGTAATGCTCTGAGAGTAGAAAGGGAAGGGGAATAGGAAAGAAAACAGTGCACCTTAGAATGGTGGAAAGTACATGGGCTCTGCCATTCGCCAGCTGTGTGATCTTGGGCAAGTGACTCAACCTCTCCGAGCCTTGGTTTCCTCTTTGGTGAAATGAGGACTAAGAATCCATTTCTTCCTCAGTATAGACAGCTAGAATGCAGTGAGCACTCAGCGATGGCCAAGGATGGGAGAAGCCAGGTAGAAGGAACACACGGGACCATTTTGTGCAGGGTCACAGGTAGGCTCAAGACTTGGTACTTAGTTTAACAGGCAATGAGCAGCCACTGACAACTTTTCAAAAAATTAACATAAATGGGAACCACTCAGACTGTGTCCTCTTCTTCTTCCCCTTCCAGAGGAAGAGAAGAACCATCTTCAATGGCATATGGCATTTGCGGAATTGCCATGAAGCAATACCTAAAGCCACCTCACACTCAGGAGAGAACACTCACCTCCTCCTCATGGTTCCCAGTGCTCTACACATTCAGAGAAACTTCTCTAGTAATGAACTCGGGAACCGGTCACTGAGAGTATAGTCTCTATGGACAGCTTTGGAGCCATGGAGTGAAGCCCAGCAAATCCATGGACCACTGCCCCACCCCAGGTCTATCTCGATAGACTGGGGACAGGACTTGGTGATGCAGAATCAGAGAATGGCCTGAGGAGGACACAGACCAGATGGGAGAGGAGGGAAGATGGGAGGAGGATGTGGGAAAAGGGCTACATCAATCTCCAGAAGCAGGAGTTGGCGAAAGGCAGAAGGGAGAGGCCATAGAGCCAAAGAGGCAGTGGGAGAGAGGGTTCATTGGATTTGCCCTCTTCGACCCTTCAGGGATTGTAGGGAGGAGAAAAAATGGAATAACAAGAGGATTTCCCAGGATTGTGAATTGGATTCCTTCGATATTCCTCAAAAAAAAAAAAAAAAAAAGAGAGAGAGCGAGAAAGAAGAGATTCCTTTCATTTTATTTCATTTTTGAGACAGAGTTCACTCTGTTGCCCAGGCTGGAGTACAGTGGTACCACCTTGGCTCACTGTAGCCTCTGCCTCCCAGATTCAGCCGCTGTCTCCCCAGTTCAAGCAATTCTCCTGCCTGAGCCTCTCAAGTAGCTGGGACTACAGGCACGTACCACCAAGCTCAGCTACTTTTTGTATTTTTAGTAGAGACAGTTTTTCACCATGTTGGCCAGGCTGGTCTCGAACTCCTGACCTCAAGTGATCCACCTGCCTCAGCCTCCCAAATGCTGGGATTACAGGCGTGAACCACAGCACTCGGCCATGCCACACTTTAAAAAATACTGTGGTACTGCTGAGCTGAGCCACAAGTGCCACAGCTTCAGTAGGGTTACAGGTGCTCATAGCTGTTTTTCTCCAAAGAATGGCTATGCGAAACAACGGGTTCTTATCATATCCTGGCTCTTTGAAGACCACACAATCCTGATTTCTTGGTGTCATCCCTGAGCAGATAGCATCAGGGCCTTGCTTTCATTTCTTCACTCCTCACCACTCCTCACCACTCCCCAGCACTCTCTGCCATAGCACCTGACACTGCCTGAAGGCTTTCTCTGGCTTCAGGGCTGTGCTAGGTGAACTGGCCCTGGGAGCAGCCCTCAGCCAACAATAACTAGGGCTCTTTAGATAAACTCGGCAGTTTTCTCGCCCTTTGGGCAGAAAAACCTTGAGATGCATTTGGCACCGTCACCCAGAGGATCCCACAGTCTGGAACCCCCTGATGTCCCCACAGATGTCCATGAACCCAGATGTCCACAACAGTGACCTGCTCATCAACTTCGCCTGGCCTGGCTTTTTTGCCTTCCCGTCTCTCTTCCCCACTCCTCTCTCTGTGCTTCTAGGAATGACCTTGTACTCCTAGTACAAGGGGATGTTGGGATTAACCACTTGTACTGAAATCCCAATCTCAGAGCCTGTTTCCAGCAGAGCCCAACAAAAGAGAGTCAGGGTTCTAGGCATTCCATCCATTGTCAGGCCACAATCTAATCTGGAAAGAACACGTGGCCACGCCCCTTGGAGGTCATAGATTTCAAACCCATGTGCTGCTCCTCCCGCTCCAGCGCCAAGACCCACTGGTGCCCTGGGCTTGTGGGCCGAACACAGACTCGGCTCCTTCTCCAGACAGTGTTCCAAGCAGCCACTTCCAGGGAAGCAGCATTGGCCTGAGAACTAGAACCTCTTTGTGGTCTCCGCAAACAAAACAATGACAAATATATGAGAGGAGATGAGAAAGAGGAGCTCCTTTATAGGGCAGGGAGGGGTGGGCACTTGGGTGTGACCAAGGAAAGGAGGCGTGCCTGGTTCACAGCTCTCCCGGGCCCCTGTCCAGCTCCCCTCCTCTCACAGGGGGAGTGGGGCATCTCAGGGATGGCCTCTTTCCCCCACAGGGGAAACAGCGTTTGTTGTCTTTGAAGCAGCGTGGGAACTGAGGCGCACAGTAGGGGAGCGAGGCAGGCAGGCTTCCTTTGCGCCCATCCTACAGCTGGCAGGGAGGCTCCCTGACTGGTAACAAAGGCCCGAGGGTGAGTTGTGAAACCCAGCAGGAAAGCCGGCTCACCTTCGCCTCCCCTTGCGGCTGGGAGGAGAGGAAATATCCCATGGCTGACTGTGCCAAGGCCGTGTCTGAGCCAGCCCTCCCGGCCTGAGGGCAGGGCAGGTAGCCCTGAGAGATAAGCCAATCCCAAGGCTGCAGATGAGGAGCTCTGAGAGGCGCTGCTCAGGACAGCGGGAAGTCACTTCTCAGAGGTGCCCGGCACGCTGGGCCTGGGAGCAGGCAGCCTTCTGGGGGTGCAGGAGCCTCTGTCCTTCAGGGTGCGGTCCACTGGCTTTCCATATCTGCAGGAGCTGACGTGCCAGCTTCCCCCAGTACCACCCAGGGACGGGCAGCATGAGCCGGTTGAGGCATCTGGGCAAAATCCGGAAGCGTCTGGAAGATGTCAAGAGCCAGTGGGTCCGGCCAGCCAGGGCTGACTTCAGTGACAATGAGAGCGCCCGGCTGGCCACAGACGCCCTCTTGGATGGGGGTCCTGAAGCCTACTGTCGAGCACTCAGCCAGGAAGGTGAGGTGGACTTCCTGTCCTCAGTGGAGGCCCAGTACATCCAGGCCCAGGCCAGGGAGCCCCCCTGCCCACCAGAACTGGGAGGGGCCGAGCCAGACCCTAAGGCACTGGACTCCAACTCCCTGCAGTCAGGCACCTACTTCCCTGTGGCCTCGGAGGGCAGCGAGCCGGCCCTACTGCACAGCTGGGCCTCGGCCGAGAAGCCCTACCTGAAGGAAAGATCCAGCGCCACTGTGTACTTCCAGACCGACAAGCACAACAACATCAGAGACCTCGTCCGCCGCTGCATCACCCGGACCAGCCAGGTACCGATGCCAGAGCCCCTGTCTCCCTGGCCAAGTAGCGGGAAGATGGGTGACGGATAGAGCAGGGAGGGGTGCATGTTGCTCCCAGGGACAGAGTCCAGATGACTGGGGCTTCAGATATAGGGGCATTGCTGCGGGCCCTGATGTCAATCTTGCCCTGGACCACTGACCTCCTGATCCCACCTGTCACAACCAGGGTCCAGGCAACCACCACCTATCACCACTTATCACCACCTATCACCACCTGACACCACCTATCACCACCTGTCACCACCTATCACGACTTATCACCACCTATCATTGCCTATCATCCCCACCTATCACCACCTATACCACCTATCACCACCTATACCACCTATCACCACCTATACCACCTATCACCACCTGTCACCACCTATCATCACCTATACCACCTATCATCACCACCTATCATCCCTTATTACCCCCTATCACCACCTATCATCACCACCTATCACCACCTATCATCACCACCTATCACCACCTATCATCACCACCTATCATCCCTTATTACCCCCTATCACCACCACCTATCACCACCTATCACCACCTATCATCACCACCTATCATCACCACCTATCACCACCTATACCACCTATCATCACCACCTATCACCACCTATCATCGCCACCTATCACCACCTATACCACCTATACCACCTATCATCACCACCTATCACCACCTATACCACCTATCATCACCACCTATCACCACTTATACCACCTATCACCACCTATCATCACCACCTATCACCACTTATACCACCTATCACCACCTATCATCGCCACCTATCACCACCTATACCACCTATCACCACCTATCATCACCACCTATCACCACCTATACCACCTATCACCACCTATACCACCTATCATCACCACCTATCACTACTTATACCACCTATCACCACCTATCATCACCACCTATCATCGCCTATCATCACCACCTATCACCACTTATACCACCTATCACCACCTATACCACCTATCATCACCACCTATCACCCTTTATTACCCCCTATCACCACCTATCATCACCACCTATCACCAGAACTTCCACAATTGCTTCATGCCTGGCCCCCCGCTTCCATTTTAATCCCCAGCTTCACAGGCTCTATACTGCAGTAGAGCAGCTTTTTCTTTCTTGTGTGTGTGTGTGTGTGTGTGTGTGTGTGTGTGTGTGTGTGTGAGAGAGAGAGAGAGAGAGTCTTACTCTCTGGCCCCAGTTGTAGTGCAGTGGCGTAATCTCGGCTCATCACAACATCTGCCTCCCGGGTTCAAGCGATTCTCCTGTCTCAGCCTCCCGAGTAACTGGGACTACAGGTGTGCACCACCACACCCGGGTGATTTTTGTATTTTTAGTAGAGATGAGGTTTCACCATGTTGGCCAGGCTGGTCTTGAACTCCTGACCTCAGGTGATCTGCCCATCTCAGCTTCCCAAAGTGCTGGGATTACAGGCGTGAGCCACAGTGCCCTGCTAGAGCGACTTTTTCTATACTACAAATCTAATTTGCTCCCTTCCCTGCTTAGAGCCTTCAGTAGTTCCCAGTTGCCCATAATGGGAAGTGCAAACTCCTTAGCGTGGCTTTCACCTCCTCCCGCTCTACTCCACATGCCCTGCAGAGCTTGTCTTTGGGTCTTTGGATGTCCTGTTCTCTCTGCCTGGCCCTGCTTGCCTTTCCTGCTTTTCATTTGCCACACCTGCTCCTGCTCCAGGACCAGCATGAAAGCCTCTTCCCCAGGAAACCTTTCCTGAATTCCCCAGGCTGTGTTTGCACTTCCAAATGTAAGAGCGCCCCTCCGCTGGGCTCACCCTTGCCCCTTTTCCTCTCAGATTCTGCTAAGACCTGTCTGCCCATAAATGACCTTGTGGCTCTTGAATCTAGCCAGTGACCAGGCAGAAGATAGGGTAGGCAGTAGAGGGGGTGTCTCTCTCCCCAGAACATTCGCACTTTGATAAGTGTCTTCAGAAGAGAAAAAGCTTTCTCAATATGCTTAAAAAGAAAGAAAGGAAAATAGAAGAGAAAAAACCCTGCAAGCCCAGAGCTTGGCTGGTAGGATTTCAGGCACCATAAGAGCTGGATCACTTCTCCCCATGCCCCGGGACCTCCAGCCTCAAGTGATGTCCTGAGCCGTGGGTGCCCACCCCTCGCTCCTGATGCTGCAGACGAGCAGGGGAAAAGGGACCACAAAGAAGGTTTTCATCATCTGTAAAACCCTCTCTGTCTCACTCTCTCCCTCTCTCGTATTCAAATTATTTATTTTGTTACATTTAGAACTCATAAAAGACCATGCTGATATTTGGATTGGTTTTTTGCTAAGGGCGAAATCTCATAAATGAATTCCCTCCCAAATTCAATGCTGTGTGAAATCTTAAAGTTCCAGGAAAAGCCATCAAGGGTGAAGAGGACATGCATGGAGCGGGAGGGAGGGAGAGAGTTCTGGAAAATTAAGTGAAAGGTAGTGATAGGTGGAGCATCGGCTTTGAGAATGACTGGGCTGCTTCGGAGCAGTGTTTTGTGTTTCTGTGGCAGGGCGGAATTGGAGGGTGCGTCCAGGCAGGCGGCCAGGAGTGCCTACGCTGCCTCGGGCCGGTGCTGGGTGCAGCCCCTCAGGCAAGTCCCTGGACTTCTTACGGCTCAGCTCCTATGGCAGACTAAGGTCCCTCCAGGTTCCAAGGCCTGTTCCTGAGTGTGCCAGTTCTGGTCTTTCCACATGAAGTTCAGTGTTCTCCCGAGGGGTGGGGACCAAAGCTGTTGAGGAAATTGTCAATCGCAGCTGCTCGAAGGATGACAGGGGTTCCCTGAAGAAAGTCAGGTTAGGGCTTGTAAAACACAGTCCCCTGGCTGAGGCCCTCTCCTCCCCACTCCACACCCGCTGAGGCTCCCGCATCCACCTCTACGACCCTGAGGCCCACTGATGTCCTTTTGATCAACACAGCACATTATGAACTTAGAACAACACTTAAAAAATCTGAGGCCGGGCGCGGTGGCTCAAGGCTGTAATCCCAGCACTTTGGGAGGCTGAGGCGGGTGGATCACAAGGTCAACAGATCGAGACCATCCTGGTCAACATGGTGAAAGCCCATCTCTACTAAAAATACAAAAAATTAGCTGGGCATGGTGGCGGTGCCTGTAATCCCAGCTACTCAGGAGGCTGAGGCAGGAGAATTGCCTGAACCCAGGAGGCAGAGGTTGCCGTGAGCCGAGATCGCACCATTGCATTCCAGCCTGGGTAACAAGAGTGAAACTCCGTCTCAAAAAAAAAAAAATCTGAAGAGTTGGCTGGGTGCAGTGGCTCATGCCTGTAATCCCAGCACTTTGGGAGGTTGAGGTGGTTAGATCACCTGAGGTCAAGAGTTCGAGACCAGCCTGGCCAACATGGTAAAAACCCATCTCTACTACAAATACAAAAAAATTAGCCAGGCATGGTGGTGGGTGCCTGTAATCCCAGCTACTCAGAAGGCTGGGGTAGGAGAATTGCTAGAACCCTGGGGGCAGAGGTTGCAGTGAGCCCAGATCGCACCACTGCACTCCAACCTGGGCAACAGCATGACTCCATCTAAAAAAAAAGAAATCTGAAGATTTCACCTGAAAGTAAGAACTTCCAGCTCCTCTTAGCAGGTGGGGTCTGCTAGCGGGGAGCTGTAGCTACTTCGCTGGGTGGATCCCCTCTGCTACAGTCCCCACCATTCCTTGTTGTCCTGGGACCCTCAGGGCTTCACCCATTTGGGTGTCTGCCAGGCACCCAACAGTAATGAATTGGTTATTAATTATTGGTTATACAGGCATTCTATTATTAGTAAAGAACGATTTCAAAAAATTCTGTTTTAGTTTCTAATATGGCAAACATCAATAGCTATAATCCACATGAATAAAAGCTCTTTGAGATCACCAATAATTTTCAAGAGTGGAAGGCAGGGTTTGTGATGTCCTTGCCACACACACACATGCACATAAACAAATGCACATACACACATCCCCATATGTGAGGGCCCAGGGACAGCCAGCTCCCACAGACAGCCAGGGAGCTGGAGCCTCAGCCCAGGTTGTCTGTGGACATAGGTGGCGAGAAGAGGAGGAGAGAGTGAGGAAATAGATTTGAATTCTCCCTGTCCTAAGCCTCAGCATCCTGAGATGAGCCAGAAGGGAACAAACTGAGAGCCCCAGCTGAGAGGTGCTTCCTGGAGCAGTTTCCACTCTAGAAGAAGCAGGAATTCTCCTTCCTTCCCTTCAGGCTCAAATTCCTTTATTCCAGGCCGGGCGCGGTGGCTCTCATCTATAATCTCAGCACTTTGGGAGGCCGAGGCAGGTGGATCACCTGAGGTCAATAGTTCGAGACCAGCCTGGCCAACATGGTGAAACTCTGACTCTACTAAAAATACAAAAAGTAGCCAGGTGTGCTGGCAGGTGTCTGTAATCCCGGCTACTTGGGGGACTGAGTCAGGAGAATTGCTTGAACCTGGGAGGTGGAGGTTGCAGTGAGCTGAGATGGCTCCACTGCACTCCAGCCTGGGCAACAGAGCAAGACTACTCTGTCTCAAAAAAAAAAAAAAAAAAAAAAAAAACCCTTTTCTTATTCCACAAAGCCTAATGTTCCAGCCAGACCCACACCCAGGACAGCAGAGTGGACCTCTCGGGAGCTTCCTGCCAACTGCCTGCTCCTTAAGGGAGAGGAGAAAGAATCAGACAGTGCAGTCCCAGGCTTGGGCAACCCTTGGTGCCTGGAAGTGAAGGGAGGGCCTAGGCTTCACAGGAGAGGTGTTCTCAGAGTTGAGTCTCAAAGGCTGCGTAAGCGTTTGCAGAGAAGGAAGGGACCGGAATTCATATTTTCGGTAGAGATGGGGGTTTCACCATGTTGCCCAGGCTGGTTTTGAACTCCTTAAGCAATACCTCAGCCCTGGCCTCCCAATGTACTAGGATTACAGGTGTGAACCACCATGCCCAGCCTTCAACCCACTATACCTTCTAAGGAAGAATAGTGCTCCAAACCAGTAACTGTCTTCGGATTAATCCAGCTGGAGGACAATCGCAACAGGAGGCAAACAAGATAACCCTAGACAGGTGAGCCTGTATTTCCAAGCATCCTTTAATTCAGGATGCTGGGTTATTTCCAAACCTGCCCCTGTCTCTGTTCAATCACCAGCTCACCGGCGTATCTCAGGAAAATGATGATACATTGGCACAGAACTGAAGTACTTACTGACCAACTGGGAAGGGAGGGAGGGAATTGTTTCTTTTGTCAATACCTTGGAAGAGGAGGCATATATCTTTCAGCAGACAGAAAGCCTAAGCTGCTTTCAGTGCTGTAAGGTTAAATGTGTGCAAGACAATTAACTGTGTGATTACAGGGCCATGGTTCTAATGATCACAGCCTCATTATTAGAACACCTTTTCCGGTTTCCTGCTCAAGGTGAGCAATTTCTGAGAATTCCTCCCCCTGTCCAGCTATCCATCCACATCACAGAAAGTTGGTTCCAAGTGGATACCAGTCATCAGTTTGGCCTGTCGGCGAGACATCTGTCTTTCCTTGCTACTTCCCAGATGGTGGTGGTTTAAAAAAATGTATTGTATTGTGCCGGGTGTGGTGGCTCACACCTGTAATCCCAGCACTTTGGGAGGCCAAGGAGGGCGTTACCTAAGGTCAGGAGTTCGAGACCAGCCTGACCAACATGGGGAAACCCTGTTCCTACTAAAAATACAAAATTAGCCGGGCATGGTGGCACATGCCTGTAATCCCACCTACTTAGGAGGCTGAGGCAGGAGAATCGCCTGAATCCAGGAGGCAGAGGTTACAGTGAGCCAAGATCGCACCATTGCACTCCAGCCTGGGAAACAAGAGCAAAACTCCGTCTCCATATATATACATGTATCATATATATCGTATATATTTCATATATATACATCATATATATCTTACATATATGTATCATATATATATAACTTATATATGTATCATATATATATCTTATATATATGTATCATATATATCATATATATGTATCATATATATATATCTTATATATATGTATCATATATATATCTTATATATGTATCATATATATATCTTATATATATGTATCATATATATGATATATATGATGTATATATATGATATATGATATATATACATCAGATATATATGATATATATAGCAATTATTAGAAAGATAGTGGGACATTATTATTACAGGTAATCTTGAAGAAAGAGAATGGCCATATTCCCTGTGAAAGAAAAATATCTTGGGCTCCCAAAATCACTAAGGAAACTGAAGCTGGAAACTCTCATTCTATTCAGTCACGCCTCTGCTCACCGATATAGATGTATATCAGAAGGAGGGAAGGAGGGAAGGAAGGAAGGAGGGAAGAAGGAAAGAAGGAAGGAAGGAAGGAAGGAAGGAAGGAAGGAAGGAAGGAAGGAAGAAGGAAGGAGGGAGGGAAGGAAGGAAGGAAGGAGGGAGGGAGGGAGGGAGGGAGGGAGGGAGGGAGGGAAGGAAGGAAGGAAGGAAGGAAGGAAGGAAGGAAGGAAGGAAAGGAAGGAAGGAGGGAAGGAAGGAAGGAGGGAGGGAGGGAGGGAGGGAGGGAAGGAAGGAAGGAAGGAAGGAAAGAAGGAAGGAAGGAAGGAAGGAAGGAAGGAAGGAAAGAAAGGAGGGAGGGAGGGAGGGAGGAGGAGGGAGGGAGGGAAGGAAGGAAGGAAGGGAGGAAGGAAGGGAGGGATAATTATGGAGGTTATACAGAAACCTGATATGCACTTGACATTGACATTGCAGATGAAATAGAATAAATGATTAGTATTCAGTAATGGTGCTGGGACATTTGGTTTTCCATGTGAAAAAAATATATAAATAAAAATATATATATTATCTAGGTTTGTGTGAATATACTCTACAATGTTCACAAACTGAAGAAGTCACCTAATGACGGATTTCTCTGCATCCCCACCATTGCCACTGATGGTATCTGCATTCACTCACTGGCGATCATAGTGGACACACTATCACTTGGTGGTGTTTTCTTTCTTCACTTAATTCATTGTTACACATTTGTTGAGATTATACAGCAGGTTTAACTTCAGGCTATAACCATTTCACCTTATCTTACAGCTTCTGCATAATCATTGTAATCAACATTTTTTATTTTTATTTATTTACTTATTTGTTTATTTTGAGATAGAGTCTCAGTCTGTTGCCGAGGCTGGAGTGCAGTGGCACAATCTCGGCTCACTGCAACCTCCACCTCCTGGGTTCAAGCGATTCTTCTACCTCAGCCTCCTCAGTAGCTGCACTACAGGTGTGTGCTACCAGCCTGGCTCATTTATTTTTTATTTTTTATTTTTAATAGAGACAGGGTTTCACCAGGTTGGTCAGGCTGATCTCGAACTCCAGACCTCAAATGATCTGCCTGCCTCGGCCTCCCAAAGTGCTGGGACTACAGGTGTGAGCCACCGAGCCCAACAGTAATTAATGTTTTTAATGACTTAATAAGCCTAATGAGCTGCTTGTCAACATATCACAATTAAGGTATTAGAAAGGACTCATGATTAGGTGACAGAGAGTAAACCCAAACAAGGTGAAAAAGAAGAGAAACATTAATTGACATCCACAGTGGAAAAGGCAAGGGTAGCACTGGCCTCAGGCAGGAATCAGATGTCCAAATGACACTGCTGGGACTCTGTCTCTACCTCCTGGCTGCTTTCTCCAGGGCTGGCTTCATTGTCAGGTAGGCTCTCCCCAGGAGGTAGCAAAATGGCTGCCAGCAGCCATGGCTTATAAACTACCAGCTAAGCAACCGTGTAGAAAGAGTACCTCCTTTTCCCTTGAGTCCCAGCTAAAGCCCTGGGCTAACTCTCATTAGAATAACTTAGATCACGTGACCACCTCTGGACCAACCTCTGTGGCCAGCAGGGGATGCAATGCTCCCATTGGTCTAGCCCTGGTCATGTGCTCTCCCCATGTCCAATCAGGAGATGGCAGTAGACCCACCCAAACCACATTAATTGTGGAGGACAGGCAATTCCTTAAAGTTAGTTGGGATGCTCTTGGCAGAGGAAGGGGGAAAGAATGCTTGGCAGGAGGAACACAGATGTCTCTCCTGCTTGCTGGATGTCTAAGACTCCCCTCCCTAGTTTCTACTACGACAGATGATGCAGTAGCTGTGGGTAGAGCATGACTCCCTTCTCCATCCCACAGGGGGAAGCTTGTTCTAATCGTTTATATATGGGGCCTCCACATGGGATTTTGTGTGAGGCGAGGATTCCACAGTTTAATGACGTTTGAAAATTAGTGGCCATAGTGTGCCCTCTAGCTCCAAGTGGCAGAGAATCCATAACCTTAACTTTATGCCCCTCTGGAACTTGCTGAGGTGCTTCCTGTTCTCTGCTCTCCACTTTCTAGCCTTTTCCCTTCCTCCCCTGCCCTCCCCGGTCCCACAATGGGCATAGGGGCCAACTGATACATGGTGGGGCTGGAGGGGTGGGATCGGGACGGGGGCAGGGGCCTCCACTTTGGCCCTTCGTTTTCCTTCCTTTAATCCTGCCCAGTCAGACCCACTCTCCCCCATCCTCCCCCATCTGGTCCAATGGGAACAGGTCTCCCAGGCCCACTGGGACTCAGGCAGTTTGGCTAAAACTAGTTAGCACCCGGCCCTGACTTTTCTGGTAACTGAGCCCTCTGCCCTGGCCCAGGTACTGGTCATCCTGATGGATGTGTTCACGGATGTGGAGATCTTCTGTGACATTCTAGAGGCAGCCAACAAGCGTGGGGTGTTCGTTTGTGTGCTCCTGGACCAGGGAGGTGTGAAGCTCTTCCAGGAAATGTGTGACAAAGTCCAGATCTCTGACAGTCACCTCAAGGTAGGGACCCTGATGGTATATTAGTCCAAATAGGACAGTCTATGCAATAGTCACAAATGTCCCCCATCTTGTGTTAATAGCTTAACACAATAAAGGTTCATTTCTTGCTCAAACTCCTATGTAGGTCGGATGGGCCTCCTCCATCTTGTAGCTATATCATGAGAAATACATGGCCTCCAAGATAGCCATGACAGGGAAAGAGAAGGCTGGAGGACTCTGCAGGATGTTTCCAGGATCTGACCTGGAAGAGATTTTCATCGCTTTCTCTTTTACCTCATTACCTCACCCAGATGCATGGGTGTCGGGAGATGAAAAGGGTCATGGGTATCTGGTGAGCAGCATCTCTGCCATGTACTCCTGTTCTCTCAGCTGGGGAAGCCCAAGGGATGCATCTCACAGGGCAGGCAACCTCCAGGGCCTGTGGGTACATGTTCACAACTCGCTGGCCCCAACAAGACATTGATCCTCTTGAACTTAACTGAACCCCCTACTTCCCTCTCCTGGCAAAGAGAAGAGAAACCCAGAGATAAAGGTTTGATTCATCACGCAAATTTGAGGACAACTAATTCAATGTCAAATGTGAAAACCACCTGTAGCTTTCATGAGTAGGTCCGGCTGAAGAGCTGAGGGGTGGCTCTCAGAGTTCTTTTGATCAGTTTCCTCTAGTTCAGGCAAGAGAGGTTCTTTCCTCTGGAAGAACCTCCCAGATAAGAATGAAGCCTCCTCCCTCCCTCTTTTCTCTGCACGGATGCAGCTGAGTTCAGGGCTGCCTCCTGCTGCCTCAGGCCTTGGGACCTCTGACTGCTGGGTCTGCTTGGCATGACATGGATCACACCTCCTTGGCCACTGAAACCAGATCAGGAGTGTCAGAGCTAGCCTTGCTTTCATGGCCTGTGCTGGCCACACCTGACAGTCCTCTGCTCATCATAGGGTGATGGGATATGTCCCTCCTCTCAAGATCTCACAGAGGTATGGAGAAGCCTCGGGGAAGCGGCTGGAGCCAGTACTGCCCTTCCCAGAGACTGCCGAGCTACCAGCAGTCCCTCGTGGGATCCAGACAGTACTCCACCTCCCTCAGCCTTAACCTTGAGACTCCCACACTTTACCTCCCCTTCCATTTCTCCACCCTTCCAGCCCTAGAGCAGGGGCAGCAGGTGCTACAGGGAAGTCAAGGGGCAAATACAGCCATGGTAGGGATGTGGACCTACCTTTGCTTAAGACAATACAGGGTCTATTTCCACCTCCACAAAGCCACCTCCTCTGGCTGCACCAGGCCTTCCCTCTGATCAGCTTGGGGTCAGGGACTCAGATCACTAAAGCCACTTACAAGGCAGGACTGGGCTTGCCTCCAACTGACTGCCAGGCCTCTTGTGGCTCACGGAGGCCCAGCCTAAGGGCTCCATGGGCATCAGGCCCTTGCCTTGCTTTTATTTGCTGCCTTATTTGAATCCTACCCCCTTCCCTTTTTCTTTTTGTTGCCAGCTAATGCGAAGACAATGAAGACAATTTAAACAATTCAGCCCAAGGAAAAAATTAATATGGCCCAGAATCCCACCAACCAGAGATAATACATCTCCATCTTAGTGAGCCTTCTGCCAGCCATTTTCCTACACAAATTGTCTTAGTCCATCACAGCTTCTATAACAGAATTCCATAGACCGGTGGCTTTAACAACAGAAATGTATTCCCCATGATTCTAGAGGCTGGGAACTCCAAGATCAAGGTGCTGGCAGATTAGGCGTCTGGTGAAGGTCACTTCCTGGCTTATAAATGGCTGTCTTCTTGCTGTGTCCTCACGTGGCAGAAGGGGTGAGGCAGCTCTCTAGGCCTCCTTTATAAGGCCCTCATCTGCTGAGTGCAGTGGCTCACACCTGTAATCCCAGCACTTTGGGAGGCTGAGGCAGGCAGATCACAAGGTCAGGAGATCGAGACCATACTGGCTAACATGGTGAAATCCCGCCTCTACTAAAAATACAAAAAATTAGCTGGACGTGGTGGCATGCACCTGTAGTCCCAGCTACTCAGGAGGCTAAGGCAGAAGACTCACTTAAACCTGGGAGGCAGAGGATGCAGTAAGCCGAAATTGGGCCACTGCACTCCAGCTTAGGTGACAGAACGAGACTCTGTCTCAAAAATAAATAAATAAATAATAAAGCACTCATCCCATTCAGGAGAACTCCACTTTCATGACCTAATCTCCCAAAGGCCCCACCTTCTAATACCATCACCCTGGGGATTACGTTTCAACACAGAATGGGGGTAAGGGGAACACACACATCCAGCCTCACGCCCAAATGTATCTCTATAAACAGAATTAGGGAATGACACCTCGACTTTCCCTCCAACAGAACATTTCCATCCGAAGTGTGGAAGGAGAGGTGTACTGTGCCAAGTCAGGCAGGAAATTCGCTGGCCAAATCCGGGAGAAGTTCATCATCTCAGACTGGAGGTTCGCCCTGTCTGGATCTTACAGGTGAGCCCTGGATTCATCTTGGGTCAAGGATTCATGGAGGACAAGGGCAGAGTGAGGTGCAGACCAGCTTCTGCTGCTCACACACACACCACTAGCAGCTCCCAGGACGTCTCCCTCTGCCGGGAGCTGGAGCTGCTTCACATAAATGGGGTGAGAGGCAGGAAATCTGGGCCTGGTGAGAATTCCAGGTAGAGAGGCATTTCCTCAGTTTCCCTTAATATTGCAATAGGACATAGAATCCTTTTTTCCCTCCTCAGTTATCTTAGATGTGATTATAAAGTGATAAAAAATTTGTTTACTTGTGTGTGTGCACACCCCCTTACACTTTTTTCCTTTTTTTTTTTTTTTTTGAAATGAAGTCTCACCCTGTCACCCAGACTGGAGTGCAATGGTGCAATCACAGCCCACTGCAACCTCTACCTCCAGGGTTCAAGCTATTCTCCTCCCTCAGGCCCACAAGCAGCTGGGATTACAGGTACCACCATCACACCTGGCTAATTTTTGTTTTTTCAGTAGAGACTAAGGATTTAGTAGAGACTTTAGGATTTCACCATGTTGGCCAGGCTGGTCTCAAGCTCCTGACCTCAGGTGATCCAAGGTCAGGATCCTGCCGTGGCCTCCCGAAGTGCTGGGATTTCAGGTGTGAGCCACTGTGCCCAGACCCATTTCATTTATTTAATTTTTCTTATTTTAAAATAAATGTATTGAGATGTATTAATTCACATGCCATATGAGTCATTGAAGTGTGCAATTCATTGATTTTTGGTATAATTCCAGAGTTGTGCAACAATGACCACAGTCAGTTCTAGAACATTATTATCATCCCGATTAAAAAAATCCCATAACCATTAGCAGTCACCCCCCACCTCCTTCAGATCTCCCCAGTCCTACACCACCACTAATCAACCTTCTGCCACTGTAGATTTGGCAATTCTAGATCTTTCATATGAATAGAATCATATATGGGGTCTTCTGCAACTGGCTTCTTTCACTTAGCAAAGTGTGTTCAAGATTCCCACCGTTGTATGGACGTACCACATGTTATTTATTCATCAGTTGATGGGCTTTTGGAGTGTTTCCACTTTTTGGTCCTAATGAATAATGCTGCTGTGAACACTCACGTACAACTTCTTGTGTGGACACAGATTTTCAGTTCTCTTGAGCATCTGCTAGCAGTGACATTGTGGGTGACAGAGCAATGCTATGTTTAACCCTTTAAGGAACTGCCAGATTTTTATTCCACATAATGGAATGTAAAATGGCCATACCATTTTACATTGCTGCCAGCAATGTATGAGGGTTCTAATGTCTGCATCCTAGGCAGCACCTATCATTGTTCCCCTCTTTGATGATCCTGGGGGTGTGAAGTGATGTCTTGTGTTTTGTTGGTTTGCATTTTTCCCTGATGGCCAACCATGTCAAGGTCTTGTGCTTCTTGGTCCTCTGCATGTCTATCTGGAGAAAATGTCTCTTCAATTCTTTTTATTGATTGAGACAAAGTCTAGATGTGTCACCCAGGCTGGAGTGCAGTGGCGTGATCACAACTCACTGCAGCCTCGATCTCCTGAGCTCTTCCCACCTCTGCTTCCCAAGTAGCTAGGACTTTAGGTGTGCACCACCATACCTAGCTAACTTCTAATTTTTTATAGCACTAGGGTCTCTCTATGTTGCCCAGGCCAGTCTCAAACTCCTAGGCTCAGGCAATCCACCAGGCTCAGCCTCCCAAAGTGTTGGGATTATAGGCAGGAGCCCAGCGCCTGGCCTCGATTTGTGTTTAGACCCTCACACATAGACTCCTACATCCAAATGACTGACCATTCACTTATTCTAGCAATGCTGCCTTGCCTGGGTCTGTCTTTGAAACTCGACTACAGAGCTTAAAAGATATTCTTTGAAATGTTCTCAGTGGCGGCACTAGGGAAGTGGATTTGATGGCGGGTTTTGTGAGAGGGATGAAATGAGAGAGCAATTGAGGAAGAGAGGAACAGCCGAAGGTCATTTGGGAACATTTTATTTAGGAAGGTGATGAATGTGACAGAGTGCAGAAGGGGCAACTGGTTGTGTCTTATCTTACTTCCTCTGCTGCAAACACAGCAGTGACCAATGAAATACGAGCACAAACACTGGAATACGCTGGGAGTGAAAGGCAGGCCTCCAGCGGGTGGTTTGGGTGCGCTGTTTCCCAGGGAGCAGGAGCTGGAGAGGCTGTTCCAAAGGCAGGTGAAGCCAACTGCAGAATCTCTAGCCAGAGACAAATGAGCATAAAGGGAAAGAGAGAAAGAAAGAAAAAAAAACCCTTACATTTAAACTGTGCTATCTTTCTTTAGCCTTATTAGTGCCATTTAGCTGAAATTCCACTTTCGGCGATATTAATATTATGACCTCCAGTCTTCCTTGGGCTTATCTTTGTACAATGTCTTAGTCCACTGGGGCTGCTATAACAAAATACCATAGACTGGGTAGCTTATAAACTATGGAAACTCATTATTCACAGTCCTGAAGTCTGGGAAGTCCAAGGTCAAGGTGTTGGCAGATTCAGTGTCTGGGGAAGGCCCGCTTTCTGTCTCGTAGACTGCTGTCTTTTCACTGTCTTCACACAGTAAAAGTGTATCATTATCCGTCATGGTAAAAAAAGGGTGAGAGAGCTCACGGGGGCCTCTTTTGCAAGGACACTAACCCCATTCACGAAGGTTCTACCCTCATGACCCAGTCATGCCCCAAAGGTCCTACACACTAATACCATCACATTGGGGATTAGGATTTCAAATACGAATCTGGGAGAGACACAGACATTTAGTCTACAGCACAGAGTATAACTTTCTCTCCATCCCATTATTTTCAACTTGTGGTTAGATTTTAAGTGTGTCTTTTATGAACAACATAGCATTAATTTTTTTTTTTTTTTTTTTTTTTGAGACGGAGTCTTGCTCTGTCGCCATGCTGGAGTGCAGTGGCGCCATCTCGGCTTGCTGTAACCTCTGCCTCCCGAGTTCAAGCGATTCTTCTGCCTCAGCCTCCCGAGTAGCTGGGACTACAGGTGCATGCCACCATGTCTAGCTAGTTTTTTTTTTAGTAGAGATGAGGTTTCACCATGTTGGCCAGGATGGTCTCAATCTCTGGACCTCGTGATCCACCTGCTTCAGCCTCCCAAAGTGCTGGGATTATAGGTGTGCGCCATCTGCCCGGCCTAATTTTTCTTTTTTTTTTTTGAGACAGAGTCTCACTCTGTTGCCTGGGCTGGAGTACAGTGGCTCAATCACCACTCACCACAGCCTCCGCCTCCTGGGTTCAAGTAATTCTCGTGCCTCAGCCTCCCAAGTAGCTGGGATTGCAGGCTTGCACCACCATGCCCAGTTAGTTTTTGTACTTTTAGTACAGATGGGGTTTCGCAATGATAGTCAGGCTGGTCTCAAACTCCTGATTTTGGATGACCCACCCACCTCAGCCTCCCAAAGTACTGGGATTACAGGCATGAACCCCATCGCTCCCAGCCTTATTCAAGTATTTAAAAGTATAATTTTATCATCTCTGTCTTTTAATAGGTATAATCTCCTTAGTCACTGTGATTGCTGATCTATTTAAGTTTATTTCTAATATTTATATTTTAACTTTGCTTTGCTTTTCCCCTTTTGTGTTTGGAGTTGAATGGACAGGTTTTCTTTCTTTCTTTTTTTTTTTTTTTTTTTTGAGATGGAATGTTGCTCTGTTTCCCCAAGGCTGGAGTGCAAGGATGCCATCTCAGCTCACTGCAACCTCTGCCTCCCGTATTCAAGTGATTTTCCTGCCTTCTCCTGCCTCAGCCTCCTCAGTAACTGGTACTACAGGCATGCCCACCACCACACCCAGCTAACTGGTTTTTAAATTTTTAGTAGAGACGGTGTTTCACTGTGTTAGCCAGTATGGTCTCGATCTCCTGACCTCGTGATCCACCCGCCTCAGCCTCCCAAAGTGCTGGGATTACAGGCGTGAGCCAGCATGCCCGGCCCAGGTTTTCATATTACTCTCCCTTTTTTTTTTCTGCTTGCTACGAAGCTCAATAAACTATATTTTTACTATTTTCCTTTAATGGGACTCCTTCAGTTTTTAAAATACTTTACACATTTTCCAAACAAAGTCTAAAATTGTGTCATAATTCTCTCTTCCCAACACAAGGACCTTCGTGTACTGTTTTTTGACATTTTGGTTCCTATTAAGTTCGTCAAGGCTGTTTCACTGTAAGGCACAGAAAATCTACTTAAACTGCCTAAGTCAAGGCAGAATGGAGGGGATGCTGTGAGGCTGGCAGTTAATCTCAGGCACAGCCAGAGGCAGGAGCAGGGGCTGCCAGGCCTCCCCAAGTCTGGGAAGAGCTAGGGTCAAAGCCGCTCACTCTGGCTTTCGTGGGCCCACAGGCCTGTTGTTTAGCTTATTTTTCTGGTTCTCTCTCCTGCCTCATGGATCGTATGAGTTAAATCTGACCTCCTCATCCCTGAGCGTTGGGGCCTCCCAGCCCAGCCCCCACCACTGTCACCCCAGGTCCAGCCATTCTGTCAGCCCAGATCACCAACCAATGGATGAGCTGCCTCTGAGTCTGGTGTCCACCCCGAGCCAGTAACCTGTGGCTGGGGCAGGGCTGGCAGAAGGGAACTTGGCATGTGGCAAAAACACAGCTGCCCTTCCAGGCCTAAGGTGGGGCCAGTTTTCAGCGAAGAATCTCCAGAATATGTCTTGTACAGACAATTTCTCCTCAAATGTTTTAGAATTTGAAGGTAGGAGAACAAGGCTATGGGAAAAAAAGAATGAGGTTTAGGAGGCATCTCAAGTGCAGTTCACACCTTCCTGCCCAGCTTGCCCTGGGGTCTGCAATGCCCTTCGTAGCATGGAGGGTCCAACATAAGAGCCTGTCCTAGGTGCTTCATGTAAATGGTATCCTAATTCAATATGCGGCATTTTGTGGCTGACTTCTTTCACTTAACGATTTCGAGGCTCCCCCAAGCTGTAGAGTGTCAGCACTTCATCCC